CTCAACCTTCCCAATTATCCTATGAGGTAGGTAAAACTTGCCCCAATTTTGAGATGAGGAAAATGTGAAAAAGTGAGGTCACAAGTCTGCACTCAGGAGGCCAATCGCAGAGCACAGGACCTAACCACCTTGTGTGTGGCCATCAACAAAACAGGACAAGGATTCTTTAGATGTTATTCAATCTAGAACAAATTATACCTATTTGTCTACACCTGGTCTAATCTAGTTTAAATTTTAAACTTTTAAATCTACTACCTTTCATTTATGTTTGTCTTTTTTTTTTTTAATTAATTAATTTATTTTTGGCTGCATTGGGTCTTTGTTGCCGCGCACTGGCTTTCTCTAGTTGTGGCGAGTGTGGGGCTACTCTTCATTGCGGTGCGCAGGCTTCTCCTTGCGGTGGCTTCTCTTGTTGCGGAACACGGGTTCTAGGTGCGTGGGCTTCAGTAGTTGCAGCATGCAGGTTCTAGAGCGCAGCTCAGTAGTTGTAGCACACAGGCTTAATTGTTCCGCGGCATGTGGGATCTTCCCGGACCAGGGATTGAACCCGCGTCCCCTGCCCTGGCAGGCAGATTCTTATCCACTGCGCCACCTTGGTTTGTTTTTAAAGCTTAGGAAGATATTCTTCCCCCACGCAGAGATCAGAAAAATACTGAATGCTCTAAATATTGCTAGTTTTTAATAGTATGATTTTTTTTAAGTATTTGATCATCAATTGTTTTGGAATTCACTTTGATGTGTGAATAGTGATTTAAATTGGTTTTCTTCCAAACAGCTATTCAACTAGCCCAGTACCATCTGCTGAAGAATAATCATTTCTTCCCCCTCACAGGAGTAATTTTGGAGAGAATCCTAAACTAGATTCCTTTGAAGAAAAATCTACAATACTACTGGTTCAAGGGACTCAGCAGTCAGAAATTTCCAACAAACATGTGAAAAAATATTCAACCTCACTCTTAATTAAAGAAAAACAAATTAAAATGTCACTTCCCCCCCATTTGGTTGGCAAACCCAAAAGTGCAATACCCAGAATTGCTGGAACAAAAGACATGTGACAGAATTGCCAAGCTGCCTTTCAGAGAGATTCCACGGATTCACACTCCAACAGCTGCCTCTGAGAAGATCCCCTGCCTTGACCACACAGTGGGTTATCAAACTCTGTGATTCTTGCTACTGTGATGAGTGGGAAAAAAATGGAATTACTGACCTTTCAATGTTCATATCTCATATAATAAATAACAATGAGTCCCTTTTCCTATATTTAAGAGACATTTACATTTCCTTTTCTGTGAACTATTTGAGTTCACTTGGGTTTTCCCATAAGATCTTATGGAAAAATGTGAACAAACATTTTGGCCAACCCAATACTATTAACCAGACTTAAAAGCGCCAGTGTTTCAGCTTGAAAGTTTTAATTTCTTGAGATCCCCGAGGTCTTCCATTCATTTCTTCCTGTTATCTTCATGCAAATCTAGACTATTAGCTACCTGCATGCAGGTTCTTAAATCTGTCTTATTGCTGTTCTATGTCCAGGGCCTTAGAACAGACACCCATCTATTTATTAAATGAATACATTTACCAATGCTGTACTAAGAAACTAGAAGCAACCTGGTGGCATATAAATATGGCCCCCATTTCTTTGCAGCTCCTCCCATGAAGGGGTGGATTCATTTCTCCCCCTCTTAAGTCGGGCCTGACCTTGTGATGTGCTCTGACCAACGGACTGTGGCAGAAATGTCCATTTCTGAGACCCGGCCAGGAGAGACCTTGCAGCTCCTGCTCTGGTTCTTTTGGAATGCTGTTGCCAGCATGAGAAACCCAGTCTGGTCCACTGCAGGACGGGAGCCAACGGGGTGCTAGGTGCTGTGAAGCACCCTTAGGCCATGCAGCATGAGGCGAGCCGAGCAGACCCGCCCAGCTGCACCAAGCCCCACCAAGCCCCGTGGGCTTTGGAACAAATATGTGCTGGTCGGGTTTTTAAAATTTTTGGTAATAAGGGTCAATTTTAGTAAGATCCTCTTCTATATCTTATTTCACAATAATCTAGTTTTGGTTTGGTTTGGTTTGACTGAACTGTTTCTAAGTTTCAGGTGTGCAGCATCATATGGGGTGATCTGAAGGCCCGGGGTTGTGGAGGGGTTTGTTGCACAGCAACAGATAACTGATGTGAATGTCAATGTCCAACATGAGGTTGTGAAAGACACTACAGGCCACCCACAAGGGAACGTTATGTACCCATTCTTTGTAACTACAGAGACATAGAAAGGACCCAAGTTATATAAATGAAAAACTATGTCTTGAGATCTCAGAACCTAGTCCTACCAAAACCAGTAGTATAGACATTCACACAACCCTGTGATGCAGGTACTAATATTTTATAAATGGGAAAACAGAGGCCCAGAGAGGTTAAGTAGTTTGTCCAAAGGATGCTCAGCTGGTAAGCGGCTGGGCTGTGGACTGAACCAGGGAGGTCTGGCTGTAAAGCCTGTGCTCTGGACACATGATGTTTTATGCCCATTTCAGCACTAAACTCCATCTTTCCACTTGATTCTATGTATAGTTCTTCCCCGCTTTTTCATTATATTCACCCAATACCTACAATTCAAATTTAACTGGATTTTAGTGGGGTTAATTATTACCTGAACGAACCAATCTCAGAGTTCATGACCTTAACCTAAGGAAAATAAGCTAAAAAAACCCTCAAATAATTTGATGCAAATTATGACTAACTAGAGAAAAGAATGAGGAAACAAACAGGAGAAAAGCCCAAGAGTTCTGTTTCTTGTAAGGTCTTAATTATACAGTTTTGTTATGTACACACCTCTTAAAAAAGGCAACTCAGGAAATCAGATCTAGGTAACATGCTTGGGATGGACGGTACAGCACACAAGCCAATCTAATCAGTAACATGTGCAAGGCATGGGAAGTTCTAATTTTGAAAATTCTGCAACTAGAATACATTATATAACTATAACTAAATAGGTAGAAGCTGTGCACACTTTGGTAGAGCAAACATTAAATGTTATTTTGGGATTCTGATAATTAAGACTATTTCTTATTCTCTGACTTATTTTTTCTATACGTCCAAACTGTCTACCATAATCATACACTACCTTTATATCAGAGAGTTTAAAAGACAGTTCCTCTTATATCCAAAAGAAATTCAATTTTAAACCAAGTGTTTCTGAAACTTGGCTCAGGTCAACACATAAAACAAATTTAACATCTAAGTAAATCGTTGTTAACGTTAAAAAATACACATATATGTACACACACACACACACATACATATGCATACACACATATTAGAAAAAGCTAAAATTCAGTCAACAGCAGACTGGATGTAAATATTGTAATATCACTGCACCAACATGTCAGCCAGCTGTTCTTGGGTTCCCTCCTCTGACCTCTTCCTTCCACTCTAAGGACTCCTGTGATGACACCAGGCTCACCTGGACAACCCACGCTAATCTCCCCACCTTAAAGTTAGCTGATGAGTAGTCTTACTCCTCTCTGTCATGTAACCTAACATGGATTCAGTTTCCGGGAATTAGGACACGGACATCTTTGGGCATGGCGTCATTATTCTGCCTACCACACTTTTATGACAGCATAAAGTTAAAAAAAATAGCTGCCTAATATATTTAACAGGTACATGTTAAGCAGGAATGAAGGATAATATAATTATTAAACAAAATTAACTTATAAGATATCAAAGACTGGGGCTTCCCTGGTGGCGCAGTGGTTGAGAGTCCGCCTGCCAATGCAGGGGACACGGGTTCGTGCCCCGGTCCGGGAAGATCCCACATGCCGCAGAGCGGCTAGGCCCGTGAGCCATGGCCGCTGGGCCTGTGCTCCACAACGGGAGAGGCCACAACAGTGAGAGGCCCGCATACTGCAAAAAATAAAAAAATAAAAATAAAAAAAAGGGGCTTCCCTAGTGGCACAGTGGTTGAGAGTCCGCCTGCCGATGCAGGGGACACGGGTTCGTGCCCCGGTCCAGGAAGATCCCACATGCCGTAGAGCGGCTGGGCCCGTGAGCCATGCCCACTGGGCCTGCGCGTCCGGAGCCTGTGCTCCGCAACGGGAGAGGCCACAGCAGTGAGAGACCCGCGTACCGCAAAACAAACAAACAAACAAAAAAAAAAACAAAAAAACAAAAAAGATATCAAAGACTAAAATCCAATGTATGACCTTTCTCTGTTATGGAACATGCTCTTGGAACATATCTAAGATATCTTCACCCAACCTAAGGCCATGAAGATTCTATCCTGGTTTTTTCTCAAAGCTTAATAGCTTTACTCCTTCTATTTAGGTCCATGTTACTTATTTTTTGCACACAAATGTCTAATCGTTCCAGCATCATTTGTTGAGGAGACTGCCATAGGCACCAGTACAGATAAATCTAAATCTGAAATGCATTCTGCTGAGTGGAAAAATCCAGACATAAAAGGCTACATATTACATAATTGCAATTCTATGACATTCTGGAAAAGGTAAAGCCATAGGGACAGGAACCAGATCAGATGTTGATTGCCAGGGACTAGGCGAGGGAACTGACTACGAAGGGGCACAAGGCAACCTTTCGGGACAATGAGAATGCTCCAAAACTTGACTGTGGTGAAGTTACAGGACTGCATACATTTGTTAAAATTCAAAGACTTGCACAACTAAAAAGGGTGAATTTTACTCTATGTGAATTATTCTGTGATAAACCTTTCAAAATGATCAAATGACAAGATGACCTTAAAAAAATTGAACTTAATCCAAGTTAAAAAGCAGCAAAGAAACTAAAACGTGGAAAACTAAACAGTCACCTCCAGACTCCCTTACCCTATGGCTACCGCTCCTAAATAAGAGGGAAGAAAGCAATGAAGAGTGAGCACCAAATAAGGCATTATCCAACAGCCACAGACTAGTGACCTACTGCTTTAATGAATAAGACAAAGAAACAAATAAAAGCTAAGCCTAAGAAAAATAATCAATGAAATCACATTTACCTTTGGAGTCAGCATTTGGGAACAGCCTGTTCCATGGCACCTTATTTTTGTGCGGAAGAGAAAGCAAATAGTTCCTAGCTTTTAAATTTATTATACAATTCAGGTCTTCCTGGGATGGGGATCCAAGAATACCTATCAGATAAAATAATCAGCTGTTAATTACCAAGACCAAGGTAAACCAACTGCATACCGTCAGCAGTGGGGCAGAATGGGCACTGACATTCAATGTCTTCTATCTCCCAATGCTTTTTACGAAGTCCTTAATGTTTTAAATCAAGGAAGATTTAAAAAAAGCTCATGTCCATCACAGGTTGAAGAGTTGCTGGAACTCTTCTTAATTTCCTGAGGGTACTCTGATGTACACAGTGGGTCCCCAGAATGCTCACGAACCTTACCCAGAATGTGGTTCAGCTGGTCGAGGTAATGCTTCCCCGGAAAGATGGGCCTGTTGGAGAGCATCTCTGCCAGGATGCAGCCTACAGACCAAATATCAATGGACTTGGTGTAGCCCTGCAGTGGAAAGGAGAAAAGATGGAGAATGACCTCTGCTGTTCCATGACACAACGAGACCTTTCTGCATGACAGGCACAGGGCTGCTGGAGTGTCAGCTTCTCCTCTGGCTCTATAATTCAGAAATAAGGGACCATGGAGAGACAAATATCATTTGACTTTCTTATAAGACACTAAACAACCCAGACTGCTTGATTTTATTTCTCTCTTCAAAGTTGATTAACTTGTTATTAAGTTAGAATTTCTGCTGTATACTTCTTTTTTTTTTTTTTTGCGGTACGCGGGCCTCTCACTGTTGTGGCCTCTCCCATTGCGGAGCGCAGGCTCCGGACGCGCAGGCTCAGTGGCCATGGCTCACGGGCCCAGTCGCTCCGCGGCATGTGGGATCTTCCCGGACCGGGGCATGAACCCGTGTCCCGTGCATCGGCAGGCGGACTCTCAACCACTGCACCACCAGGGAAGCCCTACTTCATTTCTTTTTTCAAATGATTTGAGAGAAAGAATCAGAATCCTTGTAAGCTGAAGCTGGAAAAATAAAAAAATAGAAACAACCACTGATTGCTTTAGGACATTTGTGGCCCACTTACTCATTTTGGAAACCTGGACTTCCCTGGTGGTGCAGTGGTTAAGAATCCGCCTGCCAATGCAGGGGACACGGGTTTGAGCCTTGGTCCAGGAAGATCCCACATGCCACAGATCAACTAAGCCCGTGTGCCACAACTACTGAGCCTGCACTCTAGAGCCCGCAAGCCACAACTACTGAAGCCCGGGCACCTAGAGCCCATGCTCTGCAACAAGAGAAGCCACCACAATGAGAAGCCTGTGCACCGCAACAAAGAGTAGCCCTCACTTGCTGCAACTAAAGAAAGCCCGCGCGCAGCAACGAGGCCCAAAGCAGCCAAAAAATAAAAATAAAAAACAAATAAATTAATTATAAAAGGTGGGGGGGCATTGCTACATTTCCAGAATATCTTTATCTATTTTGAAAATCATTAAAAACAAAACACAACAATTACCCATGATCTCTGCCGAAAAGAAGCACGTGCTGGCTCCTTCATGTCTCACTGATCCCTATTGCTTATCTCCTTTTTCTATTGATTTTTCAGGTATATTTTTTCTTTTAAAGGAATTCAGTGAAAAGACATGGAAGAATTATCATACAACAGTAAAAAAAAAAGATGTTACTATATAAGTTGAGTTTTATGGAGAATGCTTAGGCATAGTGATAAATAGAAGAAGAAATGTGGAGAAAAGCTAGAGGGAAAAAAATTTATCCAAATATTAAAGTTTATGGAAACATAGCAAAGTATTTTTTGAAAATCAAAGAATTAATGATCAGATCTACAGCTCTGATAAAATGGGTTGAATTTCAAAACAATTCTCGTCAATAAATTACAGAGATTTAAAGTATCTTCCCACAATTTCCTCATAGACTGAGTCATTCATTCATTTATGGCTGTGTTGGGTGTTTGTTGCTGCACGCAGGCTTTCTCTAGATGCAGCGAGTGGGGGCTACTCTTTGTTGCCGTGCGCGGGTTTCTCATTGCAATGGCTTCTCTTGTTGCGGAGCACGCGCTCTAGGCACACGGACTCTAGAGCACAGGCTCAGTGGTTGTGGCGCACAGGCTTAGTTGCTCCGCGGCATGTGGGATCTTCCCAGACCAGGGCTCGAAGCTGTATCCCCTGCATTGGCAGGCGGATTCTTAACCACTGCGCCACCAGGGAAGTCCAACGTGGTAATTATTATTACTATAATTAACAGTAACTATAACCATAATGATGGTGGAGACCTGGAGGACGCCATCTTAACCAAAAGATCAACATGAACTTCACCGATACCGACACAAACCAGGTGTGCCTCCTGATGTGACAGATGATGCGCTGAGAAGAAAACACTCTTTCCGTGGTATTCACGCCCCAAATGCATGACACAAAACTGAGGCACGTGCTACAAGTAGCTGACCCGCACCCTTCAAAAACATCAAGGTCAAGAAAGGCTGAGGAACTATTTCAGATTAAAGGCGACTAAAGCAACAATGCAACGTGCGAGCCTTGCACACATACTGAGAAAAGCTATAAAGGTTATTATTGGGACAATATCCAAAATCTGAATATAAATGGGGCATTACTATTGGATCAGTGTTAATTTTCCCACTTTTGATTACTGTACTATGGTCATGGGAGAGAACACCCTTCTTTCTCACCTCCACTGCTGCCGCTCTGGGCTGGACAAGTCTTTGTCGGGGGGCCGGCTTGCGCACCTCAGGGTGCTCGCCACTGCTCTGGCCTCTCACTGCTCGATGCCGGCAGCACCTCCCCTACTAGTTGTGAGAACCAAAAATGTCTCTAAACACAACCAAATGTCCTCAGGGAACATTCGAACTACTGTTCTAAGGACACACACGGTGAAATGCTTAGTGCTAAAGGTGCACATCTACAATCCATTCTCAAACGACTCACAAAAACAGGCACACAGAGAGAGAATGAAAAAGCAAACGGGACAAAACATAAAGAGCTGGTGAGTGTGCATCTGAGGTGAAGGGTGGACAGTTCCAGCCATCAGCTCTGTGAGGCAGCTTCCCTCTGCTTTAATACGACTGTGATTCTGTTTTCCTCTTCACTCATTCTCTCACATGTGTACAGGAGATTTTTCTAGAGGTTACATGACATTACAGGATATTATACGTGAAACGTGACAACAGTGAACCGTGCTTCCCTAACGCTCAGTGTTACAGAATTACGCATGGGTGTTGGTGTTAGGAAGAGCAATGGATGCCATGGTTTCAGATTTCACGTGGCAATTAGCCTTTCCTCTGCTGGGTTTTGGTGTGGTATCAATGATGAGCCAAGAGTAGCTGAAAAGACTACTAACTCTCCCTTTCCGAGCTTCGTGCGAAGACTCTTCACTAACTTCACCAAAACAACGTATTTGACAGACTGAATGCAGAACCAGGTGAGAATCCAGCAGTGTTCAAATCAAGCCAGACGCTGAAGAGATTTGCAAAGATGAGAACACCACTCTTCTCACTAAAATGTTTTTGTTGTGGAAAATAAACATTTTTAAAATGAGAACTATCTAACTTTTTAACATTTATTTTAAAATAAATTTAAAAATTAATACTTTAAAAAGTTTCAGTTTTGGGGCTCCAAACTGGTGGCTCAGCAGTTAAGAATCCGCCTGCCAATGCAGGGTATATGGGTTCGAGCCCTGGTCTGGGAAGCTGCAACTACTGAGCCCATGTGCCCTAGAGCCTGTTCTCCACAAGAGAAGCCACTGCAATGAGAATCCCATGCACCACAATGAAGAGTAGCCCCTGATCGCCACTAGAGAAAGCCTGCAACAGACCCAACGCAGCCAAAAAAAAAGAAAAGTTTCAGTTTTAATTTCTATATAGTAAATATTGATAAATAAAACCCAGATAAACAAAACCTGCTTGGGGTCTTGGATAAATTTTTAGACATTCAGACACTGAAGGAGTCTTGAGAACGGAATGTTTGAGAACCCCTGCCTTTTCTTTTCTTGCAATGTTTCTGCGAATTGAAAATTCTATCAAAATGAAATGTTACAAATACACACACACAGAGCACTCTAGCTGGCCAAAGCTGGGAAAATGAGTATATTAAAAAAAAAAGATAATGGACAGCAAACAAACAAAAAACCCCCACAGCCACCATGAGTCCACAATTGTGTTTTCAAAACAAAGACAGGGGTCAGAGGAAGAGAAAGAGAAAAGGGGGAAACCTCTTCTTCACAGATGAATGCCAGCTCATCGATGTAAAAGAAACAATCAATTTAGAAAATCACGTTTTGCAATGGAGACAATGGTCCTCAAGGGCGCACCCCTGGGGGAGAGGCTGCCAGGAAACAGAGGAGCCACACACATGGCTTCCAAGACTCTGTGGGGTTTGTGCCCGAAAAGTGTGACCTAAACCTAATCAGGAGGAGCCAGTCCCAAGAATTCAGAAAGAGACCCGCTGGACACACCACCTCTGTGCTCTGCCAAGTATTCTGTGTCATGGAGAAGCCAGGAAGGCGGAAGGACTGTCCCAGATGGGGAGGACACACACAACTGGGATGGCACTGAATGAGCGCCAGCCGTCACAGGTGCTCGCAGGGTACCGCGGCTGTAGGGAAGCACACCGCCTTTTCAGGAGTATTAGTGAACTCCTAGCATCAGTCGAGGTGTGCAGTGCTGGTTTATGTTGGTGAAGTGTCAGAGGGTTTGACACAAGGGAAGAGAGAGAAGAGACGGGAGAGAGAGGGAGGCAGAGGATGTCAACATCTGGTGCTGTAAGGGGAATATGGGTGTTCACTGGACTCTCTTCTGTGGGTGTGAAAATGTTCTAAATCAATAAAAAAGAAAATCCTGAATACATTGCTAGAAGTAACATTCTCAGGCTAGAGGTGCTATAAATAAAAAAAGGATTCAAACTCAGTTTTGACTACAGTTAACTCTGCAAAAACAGAGGCCACCCTCCTGGCTACTTCCCCCTGGAGGGTGGCCAAGAAGTGAAGACGGGGAGCGGCTCAAATGGGGACGGATGCTGTAAGACCACAAGGCCCCAGGACGCAAAAGACAGCTTTTCTTCCAGCTGGCAGGCACTGCTGCACACATGGGCGCCTCTTGCGTGGATAGGCTGTCACGTGGCCCATCTATCCACAGCAAGAACCCGTTGTGTGGGATTGTCGTACAGAAGTATGAGAGAATCAACACAACATTTTCTCCTTTGAAACATCTGTTACACCAAATCCTTCTTTACAATGGAATTTATTTTAATGAAATTTTATTTCCATAGCTAAACTAAACACAGGTATGATATCAAGAATAACTAACTGCTTTAAACAAATTCTGTTTCCTCACAAAAGCAACCTACATCCCAAGCCCTTTGACTCGTAAAGGATGGAGAAAGAGAATGCAGCCTATGGGCTAATTACACCTGTTCTTTTCATTCCCAAGAAGCCTCTCAGGATGATTTCTGGTTCCTACACCTGAACACGGGGTCCAAAGTTTGTTTTTATAGCTTTTTTTCTTTCTTTTTTTTTTTTGGTTGCACTGGGTCTTAGTTGAGGCAGGCGGGCTCCTTAGTTGTGGCATGCAAACTCTGAGTTGCAGCATGCATGAGGGATCTAGTTCCTGGACCAGGGATCAAACCCAGGCCCCCTGCATTGGGAGTGTGCAGTCTTAACCACTGAGCCACCAGGCAAGTTCCTATTTTTATAGCTTTTCTTCATGTATATTAATGTTACATTATGGAAGATGGAACTGAGATCAAGAATCTGTCTTGAGATATGAGATACAGGATTAGATATTAGATGTCAGGTGCACTTAACTTCTCAAATGTGACACCTTATTCAAATACTATTTTCAAATGATATATTAAAAATACTGAAACTCCAGGACCTCCCTGGTGGTCCAGTGGTTAAGACTCTGTGCTGTCAATGCAGGGGGCACGGGTTTGACCCCTGGTCAGGGAACTAACATTCCATATGTCGTGTGGCATGCCCAAAGGATAAAACAAAAAACAAAACTGAATCCCCACAGCAGCCCTCACTGTTTGCCACTGTTGCTCATACACCTAACAAGGATGTTGTACTTCACTTTCTCTTGCTTTTATAAGTTTTTCAATCATTCCTTATGACCCAGACAAAGACCTTGTTAGAAGTGTGCTTTTGATCCAGATGCAGGGACTACCACTTGGAAGCAGGACCATCACATAATTTTGAAAGAATTATAGCAGCTCCAATTTTTTCCACACCAATGTTTTCTTCCAATTATACTATAATTTTGCTAAAGAGGCATTCTTCATTATCAGGTATGTCTGACCTTTACAGAAAAGCTCTGGTCCGCATTCACAGAAACACACACCGTATACAGAGCTCATCTCTGACACAGAGCCAGCCTGACCCTGGCAGTGGCAGCCACAGGAGTGAAAGCTGCCCCAGGTAGGACTGCAGGAGAGCTGACCAGGGGGTGGGACACAGAACATTCATTGTACCAGTGACTAGGGAGGCGGGCCCTCCAACTCTGTAACACATCAGCACTACCCCAGCCGAGGGCCCAGAAGTTCCGTGTTGAATGGGAGACAAAAACATACCTTGGTTCTGACCAGACAGGCTAGGCCTCAACCCAGGTTGAAAGAGACTTACTGAGTGGGAGGCTTACTGCAATTCACGTCCAAAGTTCTTTTGCCTCTTGGTTTTCTTTTTATGCAAACTTGGCCCTTACCTTGGAATTCAACATAATTTCCGGAGCCCTGTACCAACGTGTGGCAACGTACTCCGTCAGGAACCCTGTGTGATCATGGTCCGGATCTGCAACACGGGCCAAGCCAAAGTCACAGATCTAAGAGAGAAAATAACAGGACACGTTCTTAGAGATTCTAACCAATTTAACATCAAAACATCATAAACACAAAAAAGACAACAGCAGTAATGATGACAAGTAACTGCTACCATTCCTATGTGGCAGATGCTTCTTGGAATTCTACACACTCACTCTTACCTAATCCTCACCACAATCTGAAAGGCAGCTGCCGCACATCAGACAGGAACAGGCTGGAGGAGCCTTGAACAGAACACATCTTCAGAGGATAGTATCCTCACCTCTCATTATCTGCTTATCCCACAGCAACCTTGCTTAGGCCACTTGACAAAAACTGTTCTGCTCAGAAAATAAGGCTACCCACTAGAGACTAGGAGACCAGACCTCTGCTGCTGACGCTTGGGGGTGATCACCGTGGGATCAGCTCCTCTCCCACACTCGCCCTCTCTCCACAGACCTGACCTCCTGCTGGTCCTCCACTTGCTCTTCCTACCTCCTTCCCCCTCCACGTAGCCAAACCCACTCCCAAACCTTTAAAAGGTATTTCACATATTGAAGATGAATCTTTTTTAAAAAAACAAACACCCAGCTTCTAATTTCTCCTGATTCACAAAAGTACTTGCTGGCCTTTCACCATTCAACGCTTTGGTGCTACTCCAGCTCCAATGTATAAGGAAAGTAACTATAACATATTTAATCCCATACAATTGCAGGATATTTTAATTCCTAGCTCCTGGGGAACTAACCCAAGAAAGAGAGGGAGATGTTAACAAAGACAGGCCAGAGTCTAGCAGAAGGCAGCCTGGAAGACAGAGATCACTTTGGAGGCTTATTGCTTTAATTCACCTAAGAAGTGAAAAGGGTCTGAGCTCAGGCCATAAAAATAGGATAAGGAGGAAGGGACACACCTCAGAGATACTCATGAGACGTAAATGGACATCAACCTCTGCTCAGATATCCCATAGTTGAAGTTCTCGACAATTCAGAAAGATTCTGAATGCTCCCATCCACTTCACCAGTGTTTCCCTCTAGCCTTGGACACTGGCATCCCCATGTGGCACCTCTGACCCCACAGGCCCTGCTGCTTGCTTCGACCGCAGCATTCAAGAGAAGTGACGTATCTGTGTTGCCCAATTTCCATCTTTTGACATACTGTCACTGCATCTTCAAAAGGAGCCAATGCCACATTTGCTTCCCCAGTTGCTCTTCCACAGGCTATGCTCTAAGCGCACCCTAACAGAGCTGCATGGTGAGGCTGTCTGGGCCCTCTTGCAGCTGACAGTCCCCTCTTGGCCTCCATCACCACCTCGTGCCCCCCAGCACCAGCCTCACCTCTCGAGCCGGCCAGCTTGCTGATGCCGTCGCACCCTCGACAGTCCCGGGCCTGTCGGAGGATCGGGCTGATGGAGGGCCATAAGTTTTACAGGGGGACCATGGTAAGCTCTAACCTCAGCTTGACTGATCTTGAGGCTTTTGACATACCTGCACCCTGTTTGTTTCCTTAGAGCCTATTCTACCAAGTCCCATGAAACGAACTGCAGGAATACTCAGTTCACTAGCAGTACAATCCCTGCAGGCGTGATTCCAGCTCAGGAAGCAAGAGAGGAGCGATTTCTCCTTACATGCAAAGGTGGGTCCTCTAAGCCATCCAGAAGTCACCATTTGCCACGCTGGACTACAACCAATTCACGTCAATTCCGTGTGGCTTCAACTTTCAATACAGTCCACAGTTTCTCTTTTTTCAGGGCTAACACCTCATCCTCTGATTCAAGTTCAATCAAAGCTCAGCACTTGGTCTGCCTTCTGCATGTAAATGGACACTTGAAGCCATATTCTGAGTCGTGTGCTCAGAGAAGAAATACTGCATCTCAGCAGCAGAGTAAATGCACCGCAAGCCCCTGACCAGGATTCCCAGATCCTTCACTGCCCTCTACTACACTCAGCCCCACACAGCGTGGATGGGTCCAGACTTCATCCACAGCTTTTTGTGGGTCAGTGGAACCACAAAACAAATCCCAGATTAAAAAAAAAACAGCATATACGAAATTCCCAGCTCGGTGAGGCCAAGTACCGAGGCTGACGTCTCCACACACCTCTGGGAGCGTGGACAAAGTAACAGAAGCCGCACTTTGGGAGGCTTGATGAGATTCTTAAACATCTACAAAGACAGGATAAGTGGTGTGGGCAACTTTAAACACAGCTGTGGCAGACTGGATTTTTCTAAAGAGGGTCATACCAATATAACCCTTACCCATGCTCCTGTTTCAAGATCTTTGGCTGAATTTTTATCAAGAGGGCAGGATCTATCTTCCCTTCTCTTGAATCTGGCCAAACCTTTGTAACTGCCTAAACCAACAGAATATAGTGGAAGTGATGCTGTGAGACTTCCGAGACAAAATCGTAAAATGCAATGTGGCTTCTACCTGGCTCTCTCCACTGGGGTACTTGGAACCCTCTGCCCACGTTGTGAGGACACCAGGCCACGTGGGCTACACGTGGCCGTTCCTTGGCATCAACTGCCAGGCCCTGTGGGAGATGACTTGAGGCTCCACCCCCATATCTTCTAGCCGAGGCCCAGAGGCTGGAGCAGAGACCAGTCACCGCCCACCACTGCACCCTGACTGAACTCCTCACCTGCAGAAACTATGAGCTCAAACATGATTCTTGTTGTTTAAGCCCACTACATTTTTTTTTTTAATAACAGATTTTCTTTTTCTAGGGCCATTTTGGGTTCACAGCAGAATTCAGCAGAAAGTACAAAGAGTTCCCCATGTACACCTGCCTCCCCCGCCAGGCAGAGCCTCCCCTACTATCAACATCCTGTACCAGAGCGGGACGTCTGTTACAGTCGAGGAACCTACACTGACACATCATTATCACCTGAAGTCCATAGTTTACCTTCAGGTTCACTCGTGGTGTTGTACATTCTATGAGTTTTGACAAGTGTGTAATGACATGTATCCACCAGTACACTGTCATACAGAAATAGTTTCACTGCCCAAAAAACCCTCTGTGTTCTGCCTTCACTTGGTCTTTTTATCCTCAATTTCTTCTTCTTTGGAAGGCCACTACATTTTGAGGTGATTGTTATAGAGCAAGACACAGCTAACATAGTGGTGCCAGACAGCGTGCGTATTAAGACAGACCAGCCCTCTCTGAGGAGGACCCACGTGCAGTGACACTGGAACACTGAAGAGATGCCAGCCACAGGAAGACCTTGGGAAACCAGAGCAACTGCCTGGGGGTGTGTGAGGGAAGGGTGGCCCCACAGCTGAAACCTCCCCAAGTGGCTCTTCAACTGGCTGCCCCTCCAACATCTCAACTGACAGGGCCTTAGTCTGTCTGGAATTAGGGAGACTCGCTTTACCTGACTGCAATCTGAGTCCTCCTTGAAATTCCTGCCTGAGTGTTATTTCTGAAACATAAATCACCTTTCTGGCTCAAAAATCTTTTAACCAATCCCCTCTGCCTAGTAAATAAAGCCCAAATTCTTTAAGCAAAGACCCTCCACACACTGTCTGCTCGGGTGTCTCCTACTACCATCTCTGTGCCACATCTGCTCCTACCAACAGTTCCATGCCCTTCCTGACTCCGCGACGCCCTCTCAGTTGAGGACCTGATGCTCACCATTCCCTGACCCTAAATACCAGCATGAAAGTGACCTCTTGTGAGAGGTTTCCCAGGAACCAACACCAATCCCACGAATAGCTCACTTTTCTGAACTCTTGTATACTTTGCTTGACATGTATTATATGTAAGCACATACCCACAATCCATGACAGTTAGCTGGATATATGCCCATCCCCACAGCTGGAATATAAGTCCCTAGAAAAAGGCAATACTCAACTAACTTTTTATCCCTAAGTGGAGTGGGCTCTCAACATCAGGTGAATAAATGCCTTATTTCAAATGTTTATAGGAAGCATAGCAACTCAGGTGGATTAACTGGCAAGAGACTCTAGTACTGATCACTTCTCACAGTATCTGAACTACTGATTATCTCTTAAAAGTAAAAACCAGGGTACAGCATTACCATTAATGTAAAATCTTACATTAATACTTAATAATGTTAAAAAAAAACTGCATTGTTCAGAGTGGCAAGATGAAGAAGGAAAAGTTTTAGAGTTATTTTATTTTTTGCGGTACGTGGGCCTCTCACTGTGGTGGCCTCTCCCGTTGCAGAGCACAGGCTCTGGACGCGCAGGCTCAGTGGCCACGGCTCATGGGCCCAGCTACTCCGCAGCATGTGGGATCTTCCCGGACCAGGGCATGAACCCATGTCCCCTGCATCAGCAGGCGGACTCTCAACCACTGTGCCACCAGGGAAGCCCAAGTTTTAGAATTAGCAGCATTCCTTCTCCATGGGGAACGCTGCAGTACAGCTCCTTCTTTAAACAAGAACTAAAGCGGCAGTCGCTCCTCCTGTCTGGAAGCCATCAAAAGGGGTCCTGTGGCCTGAGGGTCACTGTGGGCTGGGAGGAACCGCAGCAGCCCGGTGGGCTTGAGAGAGGGCTTCAGATCAGGACACGGTCTAGGTGTGAGGTGAACAGGGAGTCCACATGGGGAGGCGGTGGCAGCCCACCCAGGGGACTGGAGTCTGAGCAGAGGGTCCAGGGATTATATTGCACAAATCAATTACGTCACTGGAGGCTGCAAAATGGCGACTTCTCTAATTTTATTATTCCTTGTGCATTTATTAGCTGGCATTTATTTTAAGGAAGAGCCATCATTCATCAACTGGGGCTATTTTCTTACCCTGATGCCCAGATCTCACTGGAAAGACAGGGAAAATGTTTAATCCTTTTTTCCCTTTAGTTACCAATTTTCAGAATAGTGAGCTGGTATAAGGAGGATCGTGTTTCATTACTTGTATCCTCCACTCCTAGTATAAGGCACAGAACCAGCAGGTTCTCAAAATTTTTGATTATAATTTAAAAAATAAAGAGGGTGATGTAGGGTTTAGACCTCTACAAGATTGCACAACTCGGGAATTCCCTGGTGGTCCAGTGCCTAAGACTCCA